CATCCAGGGCTAGACAAATGTGGCCATGAAAAAAAATGAAGCAGTCTTATCTGACTTACCCTACAACCCATTCACAGTGCAACAGGGAACTTGGCTCCCCTTCCCTTAGACCAAAGTACTCTGGTAAACATTAGAATTCCATCAGCCCTGCAATGGTTAGTGGGTATAACAGCTATATTTTTCTGATAAGATACTTATAGGATTATTTGAGTTATTATATCTGTATATCCTGGTAACTAGTGGTGGAAAACTATATTAACAATATACTAAGTCCGGGCATGGTGGCACCCATATGTAAACCCAGCACTTTGGGAGGCCGAGACAGGCAGATCACTTGAGGCCAGGAGTTCGAAAGCAGCCTGGTCAACATGGTGAAATCTTGTCTCTATTAAAAATACAAAAATTAGCCTGGCATGGTGGTACATGCCTGTAGTCCCAGCTACTAAGGAGGCTGAGGCAGGAGAATCATTTGAACCCGGGAGGCAGAGGTTGCAGTGAGCCAAGATTGCGCCATAGCACTCCAGCCTGGGTGACAGAGCAAGACTCCATCTCAAAGACGAAAACAAACAAACAAACAAAACACAAAACAGTGTACTCAGATTTTCCTTAAATGATTTAATCTCACTTGCAATCTCCTCCTCCACTCCTATAGAAAGCAAGTGGAGAAGCTTAAATCTAATCAGGTAATGTGCACTGGGTGAAGTCTCTTTTCATTTAATATTCTTAGATTTACCCCTTCTCTCTCTTTAATAAGAAGTTCAAAGGACATCTGTGATCTAGTCACAGGGAAGATCAGAGAGAGAGGCCTGTGACCTCAGGCTGATCTCATCCACTGATGGGCGCTGCCAGCTGTCAATGGAGGTATGGTGGATCCAGGCTGCTCCTTGGTTTATCTGCCAGTGTTTGCTGTGGGAATATGACAGTAGAAACTCTGGTTTATTTTCTAGCCATCAACAGTGCTTCCAAGAAGCATTAGCTTATAAGTGAGGGTATTTCCTTTTGAAACCTTGACGTCACCCAGAGTTTCAGCTAATCACACACCCCTGTTGGTCTAGTCATGGCTTCATTTAGTTTGAGACTGAATGACTTTCAGAGTTAATCTCCCACTTTCTTGGAAACCCTTTCTGCAGGTTCCCTTGTGAGATTTGCACTCAACTTATGAGCACATCCCTCCTGTCTCCCACTGCATTCCAAGGACATACAGGGATACTTGGCCTCTTCACCTTACATAAGTGTCATGGGCCATTCATGGATACCTTCTCAGGAACGCTTCCTTGCTAACCACGTTCACGTTTATTGCCTTTCATTGTTCTGCAGCTACTTTAGCCGGTCGGTATGGGGGACAGTCTATGAGGTTATTCTCTTCCTGAAACGTAAATGGAAAACAAGAGAAAATATCCTCGATTTTAAGGGTTCACTCTTGGAGAAAATATCTCAGAGAAATATTAAAATACACCAAATACACCATTTTAGTATACCTTCCCTTCCAAATCATCCTATGTATTAAGTGTTTTTGGGTACACTGATGTCCCACACAGTCTTATAAGGAAGACAATCATCTTCACTTCACATATGGTAGCACTGAGGTTTAAAGAGTTCAGGGAATCAATCCAAAGCTGCACAGTGAGCAAATTTCAGGGCAGCTTTTGAATTCAGATATTGTAACTTCAGGGTGCATATATTCATTATAATCTAGCAGTGCCTTTTGTCCAGACTTATTCAAAACGTCTATTAAAAAGATGAAAAGTATGGATATTTCATAACACTAACAGATTTAATCTGGGGGAGAGGGCAGGAGGTGGGAATGATATATTTGAGAACAGAACCTTCAGGCATCTTGAGGAGCAATCATTGACCAGGCCATGTACAGTAAGTTTTCTTGTTGAAATGCTCAACCTGTTGTCAAAGATGTTTTATTCTTCACCTCAAAAACTCACACATTGCATTCAAATTCTGTATTTTCTGGATTATTCTATACATATATTTATGTTTACAATATGCCTTCATTAATGATTTAATTCATTAAAAGAAACCTATTCTATAAATGGAAGTTTTACTAAAATCAGTTTGAATTAATCAATTGATTTCATAATTATATTTTGGGTAAATTTCCCTTTACTTCAAACATTTCCTTTATTTTAGGCACTAGCAAAATATCCTAGATACTATACTTTTACATCTGACTTTTGTAAAAGGATTTCTGATTTATTCTGTCTGCAACAATAAAGCAAGATCATCTATAAGCATTCTTCTTTAAAGTGAAAATATTAGTCTGGTGAAGTCAAAATTACATGAAATCTAAAGACTATTTCAATGGCATCTATAAAAGTGCAGCCTTAAAATCACAAAGCTGGTCAAGGCCTCAACTGTTTCTGACACTTTAGGCTTTTAGGCTTTAGGCAATGTACTAGTTGAGTTCAAAGTGGTAGTTGGTATTGAATAAGAACAGGATGATTCAGGAAGCTGAAGTTAAGAAGAGATCCAAGGTGAAGGAAGTTTTGCTGATAGTCCCCATAAAATACCCAGAGAATCCTGTGGCTAGAGGGGCAGCCTATGCGTAGGGTTGTAAGTGACGTGGTCTACCTGTCTCTCAAACCCATTCTGACTGTGAGGAATAGGGGAAGGCTGAAGTCTTTTCTACTTGGATTTTAAGACTAGCTCTGCACTTCATATGGCTCATTTCCAGATATTTAAATGGTGATAGCATCTCCTGCAGAAAGGGGTATCGAAGGAGCTCAAATTTTAGGGGTTCACAATGAACCCCTAATTCCTCACTTTGGAGCTGTTACATGCAAAAAACATAAAAGGCTCAAAGGTGGCTAGTGCCTGCCTCCATTATATAGGCTATTTTTTTTTTTTTTTAATTCTGTGATGTCTTTAGAAACTAGAAACCAAAAATCTTAGCAGTGATTTTTTTATCTTAGATGTGTTATGAACATGTGCACTAGATTGAGGCCCATCTGAAGAACTGTATAATAACAAACCTGGAGTTTGAAATTCCTGTATATTAAGAAATGAAACCCACGGCAGCAAGGGCAATGACAAGCTGTGACCATAATGGCTGTGTCCCAACTCTGTCCTGGAGTTTCATGTTCCAGGAGTGAATAAATAATTTAATCTTCATGAGCCATCAATTCTAGTCCTCCTTCAAAAGTCTGGCAATAGGCCCAGCTAATTTCATTTATGATGTGGACTTTTTTTTTTTTTTGAGACTATGAGTTTTCAGAAAGTGAAAGAGGGCAACCATTACCTCATTACATGAGTGTGTTTCTGTGCTTTTTTTTTTCCTTTCAGTAATGCTTTATTGATTTATTAATCAGCAAGAAATCAAAGGGTAAGGACATGCCATTTCCTCATTAATTAGTCATAGGAACAAGCAATACTAATCAGTCTTACTTCAACTATAAATAATTAGTAGTTTAAAAGAAATTTCTCTGGACAGAAGAGAGTGAAATATAGAAATTCTGTTACACTTGATAATTTTTTTTTGACAGGATAAAAACTTACCTATTGAGTATTAAGTCAAAGATTTAAAGCTTGGGAAATAGATGATGAGAAAATAACTTTTAATGCCTAGCAGTTTTTATTCATAACTTAAAAGTGCTGCTTTGTTATCAGCTACCTTTTTAAATATATATCCAAACATCAGCACCCTCTCCTCCAAAGTAAGTCTGCTAAAGTGAGATATAGTATGAATAAGAACATACTTTAGGAACTAAAAATATAAAGTCCTACTTATGCATTTACTGAATTGTGGTAACTATTTCTACATTAAAACAGCTTTTTGTTTCTGTTTCATTTCCCAATGGTTTCTTTAGGATATAAAATAATTTGTCTGAAAATATACTAAAATTTTGGGCTTTATTTCTGCCTAAAGTTTAAAAAATATTTTTCTAACTCCCAAGCTCCTGTTACTTGTTCTCATGTCTTAACTTCCATCAGAGATTTTTAAGTAATTTAAACTATATAATGCAGACCTTCATTCTAATTGCTATTAATAAAATATCTTTACATATTTTATTTTGAACAAAGGGAGAAACCAACAGCAGGTTGATTTATCCATCTACCACTCTTTCTCTACTTAGGATGTTTTTGCTAATAACTATGCCCCAAAAAATGCTTGTGACATGAATGAGTTAAAAAAACAAACAAACAACAACAACAACAAAAAAAAAAACACGGCCCTGCTCTGTGTTTGAAGAAAGCATTTTGTAACATAAAAAAAGTTCTCTTGTCTGACACATTGGTATGATTGATAAATGAAAAGAAGGAGGCTGAAAGGATTCAACTGAAATTGATAGAAATCTAGTAGGAATCTCTTGACCTCGTGATCCACCCGCCTCGGCCTCCCAAAGTGCTGGGATTACAGGCTTGAGCCATCCTGGTCAACATGGTGAAACCCCGTCTCTACTAAAAATACAAAAAATTAGCTGGGCATGGTGGCGCGTGCCTGTAATCCCAGCGACTCAGGAGGCTGAGGCAGGAGAATTGCCTGAACACGGGAGGCGGAGGTTGCGGTGAGCCGAGATCGCGCCGTTGCACTCCAGCCTGGGTAACAAGAGCGAAACTCCGTCTCAAAAAAAAAAAAAAAAGAAATCTAGTAGGAATGTAGTATGTGACTCGTATAATGCTATTTGAAAGAAGCTAGCTAAAATTTATGGAAGCCAACCATAGGCCAAGATATTATTTGTATGATGCTTACTTTAAACTCAATATATCTTGAGTGGAAAGCATTTTAATCTCCATTTAAGAAAACCAAGTATCCAAGAGAGTAAGGGATTTAGATAGGATTTAAATGAAAGCCTTTCTCATTTCAATTTCCATTCTTTTTCACTGTGCTACATGATACATTCTACTATGCTACTAGTTGTGGATTGGTCTAAAAACTTTAAACGTTCAATTACACATCTAGATATACGGGGTCACAATAAATTAGAATGAAGAGTGTTAATGCCTTAAAAGCCTCCATTGGAAAGAGGTGGTAAGGTCTGATTTTTTTGAGATAGATTTTGTCAAAGGCACTTGGTCAAGCAACAATCATACAGCTAGGTTTTAGTGAATATTTAAGGCCAATGTCGTTTTTTCAGAGCTCTTACCTTGAGATCATTACTAACAAATACTTGGTGTTAGTTGAGGATATACATACTCCATGAATAAAAATTGCTACAAAAATTGCATAAAAGAAACAAAAAATCTAAATTCTTGGTTGCAGACTTAAAGCTACTATTAACTTAGCGATTTGAGATAAACGTAAACATTTAAATGGAAACAAAATTCATGCCATTACCATACAACATTATGTTGATGATTAATTTTTATCTGAAAGTTTTGTTGTTGAGGTGTGGCATTAAAAAAACCCCTGCATATGGACTGGTAAATTGTATTTTAACAAGTCATGTATTTCATGTTTTATGCATTTCATCATTTTAACCTTGCAGTACAAAATAATATTGACCAGAAACACCTCTTTGAAGTACTGCTTATAAAAAAGATATGGTGCATTATATTCCTGACACTTAAGGTCAAGTACTACAGATGCATTGTATATTAATGTATCCAATATATCAGACAAATTAATGTCTATCCTCCCTTTTGGGTCTAGACTACTTTATAAGCCTATTTTTACTTTCTTCAGTTTGATTAATAGTATCCCAGAAATACTCTGTCCTAACAGCATCCAAGACAGCTTTGATATTATCTATGAATCATGAGTGAAAGAATTCTCATTACATTTGAAATGATACGTTTCAGAAATTGAAAATAATTTCATGTATAGGTTTCATTAAACACAAGATAGTATGTTGTTTCACTCTGGCAATTTATTCAAGGCCAATGATTAATTATTGCAATTTCTTCTGAATTATTTAATGAATTTTCCCACTAAAAATTTTGCTGGAATGGTTCAACATGCTCTTTTTTTTAACAGCATATATCAGTTTTAACAGCTATAATTGACATTCACAACACAAACTTACGTTATAATTTTTGTTATCTGGGTCAATGACTTTAATCTGTGATATGTCCTTGAAAAACAGTGTTGTTAATAATGTGTCAAATATGATAAGACTGAATTTTGCCTAAACTAAACACAAATAAAATGCTTAGGGGTCTTGCCTTCTTTATTATTTGAAGGGCTCTGCATAGGAGCCTGCTTTTTCCTGGTTAATTCTGCTGTGTTGGTGGCCTCATAGAGAATCATTACAGCTGTGCTCTCTCAGAGACAGCGAGAATAAAACTTCTGTGTAACACTCTCTATACAAAGCTTAATCCTAAGGAACAAAAAACATATTCCTGAAACATATTTTCACTCATCTTAAATATAAAATATAAAGTCTCTTGATACAATATATATCCTATGGCCAGAATCATTCGAATGTAAAATTTCACTTGCAATTTACTCTATAGGGAGAAAAGTATATGGTCTGAGTGTAGGGATTTATTTGTTTTCCCTAGAAATCTGTACTGTTTAATATATACTTTATTTCCAATACCTTGATTTTTCATATTATTTTTTTCTAAGTGATTCTCCTTTCAAAATTGCTATAGTATTACATTAAGGGTTCTGAAAATGCCAAAGGAAGAAATGGAGTACTATTAATAGTTTTTGCTCTCCTAAGTTTTGTCATATTTACACATTTAAAAAAAATTCACTGACTTAATTTAGTTTCCAACTTTCTACAGTGTCTAGAGTAGTCTTTGACTCAGAATACACAAATATATTTATCTGAAGTGGTTCTGCTCAGGAATTTAATAAATTGTGCAGTCTACAGAGAATACTATTAATTATGTAAAGACTGATGGAGATTCATTTACTTGGTTTCTTTCTGAACCACTTGACTTGTCTCTATTTAATTAAACAATAATAAATGTTATGGTAGGGAGAAACTTAGGCTGTCAGTGAACAATACTAAATATATTCCTGGAATAGAGAATATGATTCTAGATGTCTTCATAGTTAGACAGAAAATCACATCAAGATAATTAAAACACTTGCTTACTTGCCTACATCTTATTGACATATATCTTCAATCATATTTCTTAAGTCTTCAGTCATGGAGGACACTGTGAAGGCAAATTACTATCAATGCCTCAGTACATTCCTTTATCTCCTGTACAGCTCATTTTATTTTAGATTTTATGCATTTTATATAATGTTTCCATGTCTGGTTTCGATTTGAAAATATGGCACTCTTCACATTGCCATCCCATTACATGGTAAAAATCAGAATAACAAAATATTAAAGATATTTTACTGAATGGTGGGGCAGCAAGTTATAGACAATAATCAGTTGTAAAGACACTGGGAGATGACACATTAATGAGCTGATATTTTTAATATAAATTATAAATGTAGTTGAAGCATCTAAGATAATTTAAGTCTATGGTTGAAATATTTGAAAAGTTTTTACTATATGATCCATGACCATATTAAACCACCAGCACCAAAGGACGAATGTGAGAGAGACTCTATGTAAAGATAATCTCAGTTTTCTGGTTTTAGGAATTTGGGCAATTGTTATCACCTCTCTACTATTGTTTCTCTTTGTAAACTAAGCACATAAATATCTACTTTGGAAGAGATATAATGTTTATTTACTCATAATTGTGACATGTGCAAAGCATCCATATCAGTGCATATCAGAGAGTAGCTAAAATAAGGTATACCTATTATAATTGCCATTATACTCTTTCCTCTGATTATAGGTTTTAAGAATGAGTTTCAGTGCTAGAAGTCAGTAGAAGCACAGACATTTTATCACATAGAGACAGTATTAAAAGTTCTATTAACTCATTAATGGATTGATATTTAATTTTCAATTTAGAGTCTGTCATTTCTTTTCTTAAGATGTTGTTGGAACGACTAATCTTAGAATAGATAATTTAGATCCCCTCTGAGATGTAAATAAAATAGTGTGTAAAACAAAGTTTTACAAGAATTTTCCCTGTAGATATATTTTATTTAGCTTAAAGAAAATCCTTGAGTTGGTAGTAAGTCAATTAATGCTATGATGCCATCAATAATTTATTAAATAATTGAAAAGTCATATATGAAGTAAAAGTACAGTATATAAGTTTTAATTTAAAGGATTCCCCCCAAAACTCAAAATTATGCTTTCATAAGCAGGGATGGTTATTTTCAATTTCAGAATTTAGTGTGTGATACTGTAAAATTTGTATATTTGTTCCTCATTCCCAGTTTTTGGTACATAATTCCTAAAATCATTGGAATCTTCAAGGTAATAAATTTTCTATGCTAATGAGTTGACTAGTTGACAGAGGGCTGGCAGCCTCTAGGTACCTTCAAGATGGGGCTATTCACCAGAAAAACCAACATGGGATTAGAGGGTTGGGACTTTCTGCCCCAACCCACCCCTTTTGGAAGGGAAAGAGGATGAAGGCTAAGGTGATCAGCAATGTCCAATGATTTAATCAATCATGCCTTTGTAATGAAGCCTCTATAAAAACCCAAAGGGAAGTGTTCAAAGAGCTTCTGGAGAGTCGAAAACATGGGAGCTCCTGGAGGGTTCTGGAGAGGTCATGGATGCTGTACAATGCCACCCTCATATGCTTACCTGCCCATCTCTTCATCTGGTGTTCATCAGCATCCTTTGTAACTTCCTTTGTGATAAACCACTAAGCATAAATGTTTCCCTGAGTTCACTGAGCAGCTCTAGTAAGTTAACTGAACCTGAAAGAGGGATTTGTAGGAATGATTTGTAGCTCCTCAATCAAAAACACAGGTAGACCAACCCACAGCTTGCAGATGGCTTCTGAAGTGGTGGGAGGGGGCGTTCTTGGGGACTGAGCCCTTACCCTGGGATCTGATGCTGTCTCCAGATGAATAGTGTTAGAATTGAACTGAATTAGAGGACACTCAACCTGTGTCTGCTGCAGAATTGATTGCTTGCTTGATGTGTTCAGGGAAAGCCAAGCTCACTTGGACACAGAAAACTTCTGCACTGATTGTTGAGGTGTGAAGGCATATAAGAAAGTTTGTTCTTTACAGAGATGAAAACAAAGCAAAATAGAACAAAAAAATTTGCAGAAACTAATCAAAGTCTTATAGCTCCAAGGTATATCAGAGAAGAGAATTTTCAAAATAGTCGAGAGGTTTATGCATTTGACACATCACAATATGCTTGTTGTATAAAGTACAAAAAAAATTGGGAAAGATAATGGATTCAAATTCCCACTACCAAAGACAACTGCTTTGATGTCATTATAATTAACTTGATGTAATTATTTCTAGCCCTATAATGTACACTTCCTGTAGTCATAGTTGAGCTCCTTATTTTTATGCAGTTTTATATGATAATAGTATTAAGCATTGCAGCAGATTTCATTTATATATCATTATAAATATTTTATAAGTGCAATTTTAATAGCTACATAACAGCACATCTAGTAGCATTTCATCTAGCAGACATTTTATAATCTGTGCAGTTGTTCACCATTATTAAATATTTTGACTACTTTAATTAATTTTCATAAATATACAACAATAAATTTGGGGGGACATAAGTTTCTATATATTTTGGATTGCTGGAAGTAGAATGGCTGAGTCAAGGTGAGTTTTTCTTAATGGCTCTTTATATACAAGCATTAAGCTTTTTAACATTCAAATTAGACTTAGATAAATATGATATTTTCTACAACTAAATCTGAGAACTTCACTCAAGAGACTGATCTAGGTTTTTCCTTGAGAAGAGATTGAATTTTCAATAAAATTTATCCATCATTTAAAAACAATACCTTGGCTGAAATCGGATAATATAGGTTATGAATAGTGACCAGAAAAAAAACTCTTCTACACTGTTATGGGAATATTTTTACGTAACTATGCATCATGAAAATATACCAGTTTGCCTATGGCAACTCAACTGTGGCAACTCAAAATGATGGCTTGATGTGATGTGAGCTCCTAATAATCTCCATTAGTAGCCTCTCCAGACAAGGACAGATAAGAATGCAGTTTAAATGAAGACAATATGCAAATGAGAATGTCACTTACCACCATCAAGATTGTCACCACTAAGCCCCTACTATGTGGAAAATCTGGAAGCCACAGGTGGACCTTTTTTGTGTGCGTCTATTTGTTTTTCTGTTTTGTTTTGTTGCTGCATCACTAACCTTACCACTAAGGAAGACTGATGGTCAAAATATGTTATTTTATTGTGTGTTTCTCTAACTTGGCATATTATGAAGCTGTTAAGGTAATTTGTGACCAGTTAAATTCAGGAGTATATTTAAATATACTTTACAAAATATTAACTAAAACAAAATTATATACAATTCCAAACACAAATTAATTGCAGTCATATGTCAATTTTCAGTTCTTCCTTAGTAAATATTTTTTCTACTCTCTCTCTCTCTCTCACACTAGGGTGAAATTTTCACACTAGTGTGAAAATTCCACCCTAGTGTGAGCATTTTCTGTTTCATTTGGATTTTTTTCTTATTTCAGGATATATTGATCCTCTTCTTTTGTGTTATCATTTTTCACATTTATATATGTTGGAAAATCCAACAAACAGTAAACTTGTGGAAGATGAGGCTCAGGCTATTGTCTATATTGCATTAATCTAACTTGAACATCTAGCAGAGCAACTGGCAATCAGGGGCTGCCAATAAACATCTCTGAATGGAGATATATAAAATTTCAGCTCATGATCTTTAATAAAGGAAACCAATGAAAAGTTACATGTAATTCATATTAAAATGTACACTAATTACATGGACACGTTGATTCTATATCACCTTTCACATTTTCAATTTCTTCTACTCTCTCTAATTTCTCTATTGACCTATAGCACAGAGTGAAGTAGACACCCTTTAAAAGATGGGGGTAAAGTGTTTTCAAACAGAACATTTATTTTTATGGCCACAGTAAATTATTAGAGCTGAAACATTTGTACACAAATAAGAAGGGACAAAGCAGGATATTTTTCCTTTCAGCCATGCACAATGATAAAATTACAACCATAATTATTTAACTCCTGCGGTAACTGATCTTATGTTTCATTCCCCATATGTTATGGCAGGTACTTTCACCTTGATCTCTATCTTTCCTTCTTATTTCCTCCTGTCGCATTTGTTCCTCTGTCCTGCCCTTTGCAATCTTCAGTTCTACCCACCGCTACAGGCCCATTCCTATGACTCTGCCTGTTGTTCTGTCTCAAGTTCTTAGTCCCTGACATCTTGGATCATTGCATTATATTGATTTCAAGCAACCAATTCTATCTACAATTTCTCCACTAAAATTCAGATTCATATTTCGAGACATAATGACATCCTTCTATATTTGCTGGATTCCATATCTGAGAGGCTATTGTGTCCCTAACCAGTAGGAGAGAACAATTTTTAGGCATGTTTTAAAGAAAGAATTAACAGAAATACTTGATGATGAGCTGGATGTGAATAAGGACTTACAATCATCATTATTTGGAGAAGGAGACAGTAGAAAATACAGGAGTCTTGGAAAATATCAACAAACACAGATACAAAGAAGATAATGTATTTGGTTGCATTGACTAAATGAATACAGGGTAGAGATTAGGGAAAGGTAATATATGTTGATGTATTAATGCAATTCTTGAAACAATAGATGATTCTGGCACTTCAACATATAATAATAACAATGTCAAGAAACCAATGAAATTATTATCACTAAACGTGTTCCTCATCAAAATACTACCTTGGAATTCACATATGGCACCAATGATAAAACAAAAAAGAAGGTGTTCTATGTGAGGTTCATTTTTCTTCTTCTTGTCACTGTAAAAACTCAAACCTAGAATATCAGAAAAAGGATTTCAAATTTGATAATATTGTAGGAATTTCTCTTAGAATTAAGACAAATTGAGATCTTGCACACTTTGCATAAAATATAAGACAGAAGATGTAAAATGATATCATAAAGTAGATGGTTGAACTCATTTAAAAACATGGTACATGAGTCAGGAACATAAATTTAAGTATTTTAAAGCTAATAAGACTGCCATTTCACCAGCAACACCGGATTAAACAAATGGGTGGCACAAATCCTAGGGGATGCTTAGAGATTAGAATACATCTATTATTTTGGGACTCAGGCTTTCCATTTTCAATGTAATGATTAAGTCATTCACTTTTGAGTTACTCAGTCATATCAGTAATACGTCCATCTATTTGACACAACTTTTGAGAAATCATCACATTTTCTCTGAATCTTCAATTCATGATTGACATTTTAGGGAAGAGTGTGCTCAGAGAATGTATTATTTTCCTTAGATTTCCAAATTGTAAAAATTGGAGTATATTTCTGAATTGTAAGCAGGAATATTAGTGATACTTAATGACATGGTTTGGCTGTGTCCCCACTCAAATCTCAACTCAAATTGTAATCGGAATTGTCATTTCCACATGTGAAGGGAGGAACTTGGTGGGAGGTGACTGGGGAGTTGTTTCCCATGCTGGTCTCATGATAGTGAGCTCTCATAAGATCTGGTTGTTTGATAAGTTCCTGGAGATACCCCTCTTTTCTCCCTCCTGCTGCCATGTAAGATATGCCTTGCTCCCCCTTCACTTCCACCGTGATTGTAAGCTTCATGAGGCCTACCCAGTCATGCAAACTGTGAGTAATTAAACCTCTTTCATTTATAAATTACACAGTCTTAGGTAGTATTTTTATAACAGGGTGAAAATGGACTGATGCGCTTGAAAACCTCAAGAAACCCACTTTTGAGACATATTTTTAAAGCTTGAAAAACTGCTTTATATGTAATTTAATACTAGAAAAAAGAAATGAAGTCAACATACTGCTAAGACTAGCTTAGTAATTTTTCCTTAAAATATAAAGAAGATACATATTTTGAACAATTGAATAATTAAATATTATTATTTAATTGAATTAAATTGAATTAAATATTCAATTGTTAAAGTTACACTTAATTTTTAAGTCTAATATATCTGGAAACAAATTAGTGATCCTGTAATTAAAACTGCAAGCTTTGAGTACATTTTAAAATAGCATCACGGAATAAAAATCTACAGATATTTTTAAAGATACAGTACCCAGTGTAACTTCTTGAATTTAAATTTCAGTCAGACTGTCATGCCTTAATTACAAAACTAAAAGATCAGAAATTATGTACTTGATATCTAAGGTCAGTTTAAATACCTATAAATCTTCATAGTAAGATGTTTACATTTATTTGATGAGAAGACTTAGCAAATTTTAAACTAGTGCAAACAGACATGGTTTAGTAAGTTCCTACAAATAATTCCTTTGGTTTATCTTTTGTGATATTATTTACTAAGAGGAATAATAAAATATGGTCTTAAGTATGCTAATTCTTTTCTGGCTTTTACATCATTCTTGACTTTACAACTTTTTAAAAAATACTAGTTTATTCTATCATACAATAGGCAAAGTGAAAGTGGAAAAACTTTTCAACCTGTATAATATTGTAGATTTTTTTTTTTTCCAATGGAGAACTTTTCCTACACTGAACAGAGATCGTCTTAACAGTGAGGTTACTTTAGAGGAAATAAATGAAATTCGCTGGGAAAAAAAAAATTTGTACAAAAATATCACCCAGTGTTTCAATGATAATAGCCTGCAGCTTTGACATTAACATTAAGATAAACTATCATTAGTGGAAATAAAATGAAGTTTCCCAGAATACTAAGAGTGCACAAAGTAAAGAAATTGGAAAATTTCCAATAGCAGTGCAACAATAGAAAAGCCTTCTGTTAACTCTTGGTGTATATCTTCTTTTCATGTTTCTAAGCGAATATATACTTATATTTGATAGTACATAGAATATATCAATATTATCTAGACTTCTGAACTATTTATAATTTTCTATGCATGCCATGTCTTCTCTTCTGGTTTCTCTAGAAGCAGCTATCCTGCACTTATCTCTAACTCTCACAATTCTCTCTCTTTCTCTCATTCTCTCTTTCTCTCTCTCTCATTCTCTCTCTCTCTCTCTCTCTCTGTCTCTTCCTCTCCTTTCCCTCTTTTTCTCAGTATATAGATTTTCCCTATAGGCTTGGGCTTACCTTAAATGATGACCCTCAATAAAACATTTTGGGTTCTCCTAAACTGTAAGTTATCTTCCATTCACAACCCCTATGTGCTTGGCTGGTGTTCATTTCTTTCTACCTTTCATTGTAGTTATTGGTATACATATGCCAGTGGCTCTGTTTGCTCTTATGAAAAACACAAACTAATATCCGTGTAAGAGTCTCTAATTCATTTTATTTCATTTTGCTCCTAAAATAAACAAGGTAATTCCATGGAAGTGTTATTTCTAACTGTTCATTTAAATTTGATTGAAAAGTATGGGTGATTCTCTGTCAAATGTCTTTTAAGGTTAAGCAATGTTGGGTAATATACCACATTACTCACCTTGCACTCAAATATAATGTGTGTGAGCATTCCATATTCATATGCAAACTTCTTGTTATAGCATTCTAAAGGTTGGGGAAGCGGAAGTCAAATTTTATAAAAACAAAGAGACCAAAACAACTCAAATGGCAAGTCAATTCCAGTCTAGAGGTACAGGAGCAGTAGACTGCCATGGATGATGGATCTCTTTATAATAGGCATGGGATTCACATCATCACTATGAAAGTAGTCATGAAGAGGGTTTGACTTACATGCATCCAGGGAATATGTTAAAAAGTTCAAATATAATGATAAATGATGTGGTTAATAAAAATCCTTTTCAAATGCTGACATCATTCTGAAGCCATGTTATGGACAAAGGGCCAAGGCTCCAGGATGATGTACCTAGATGGTCTTCCATAGGCAGGAATGCAGTCAGTGCCTCAGTATCTGCTTGCCTGCCACCATGTAAGACATGACTTTGCTTCTCCTTTGCCCTTCCACCAGGATTGTGAATAAAATCCTGGTTTTGACTGTCATGGTCTTCAAGAATCCTAACACCAATATTGTTCCTAATTTAGTAGTTTGCACCCTTCAAAATTTTAAAACCATCTGAGAATAGCAAAACTATTAACAATGTCTTTTCCAAACACTTCTGAATCCATAATTTAGTATATCTTTTAAATATCATTGGCAGTAAGAAAGAGCAATTGGAAGCAGAGGGAGCAGGTTAATTGAAAGCTGTAAAGAAGCCACTGAGTGAAAAGTGTTGAGAAAGAATGAAAGCAATTTTAAACTGTGTCAACCACTGTTTAGTTTATGCCCTCCATGTTCAATACTTATGCAGTTTCCTCTTCTCATTTTCTTTCTGTTTGAATGTGCAGTATTCTCAGCTTTATTTACTGTCTGGTGTTCCTTGGTTCGTTGCCACATAAACTGCATCTGATTTAATGTTTCCCATGCAAACACTTTTTTTTTCCCAAAGAAAATCAAGCCATTCTTAAAAATGCACTCCTTGTTTCATGAATCAATTGTAAACATAAATACTGCAGCAAGTAAAGGAAATTTTATCTTTCCAAGGCTAAAGACACTTGGAAATTCTTGCAGCATCTGTTTTATAGAAGAAAGGATAAAATGAGAAAGCTGGAGAATTAATTCTCCTATGTTCTTTATTGTAAAATAATTACATAGTTTGGTTTTAAAGTGACAAAGTGAGGTTCAGAAACAAACATTCACATATAAGTATTTAATTTTTTCAATGTCTATG